AAAAAAAATAAAAAAGTTCATAATCATGATCCACCTCGACCCCGAATTCATCAAAGTAGTGTTAGACAATCTATTGTTGCTTTAAGTTTCAACAGAAAAAGCTTTTATTGTGAAGCAACAAGCGAATTAATCCCACTTTTGATTTTCGTCTAGCATCAAAGGGATATTATGATTTTTTAATGTCAGAAAAGAAAATATTCATTCAAGATATAATTACTAAATGTGTAGTGTAATAAAAACGTATGACTTACCAGGTGCAAATTTAATGATAAAAAAAAACGACTTTAAAGAGTTTGATAAGTTTAAGTTAGTTTTTTAATATAAAAAGATGTCGGAAATTAAAATTTGGTTAATTAACCGATTTGATAAAAAATTTTCTCTGTTTTGATTGGTCGATTATTAACGCCCATCCTAATGGTTTGCATATTTATACGACAAAAAATAAATCTGACTAAAGAAAAACCCCAGCTATTTAAAATATTGCAATACAATCTAACATATCACTATAATATGCTTCTACTACTCATACAAGAATTGGACGTGTTCGACGATGGTCCTCCACTATATTGTCAAAGTAAATATCACAGCGTTGAGAAACTTGATGGTTTTATAAATAAATTTACTAATATAAGTCCATCCACCAGATACCCAACCTCTGGCAAACAATACAACGGGTACAAAGCCACTCTTAGTGCGCTACCCGATTTCAGATTCGAGCAGTAAGTATGAAGGTTTTTATTGCTTACATTTATATAACGTGTTGGTCTTACAAAATGGACCTATCCTTTAACTAAACGTATTTTCTTCACATTTAATAATTATAGTAATTGATCTGATGCCTATGGTTGGTGGATATGCAATTACCAACCATACAGGAATAGGCCGCCCTCAAAGTAAATAGCGTTTAGAAACTTTAGGAAATATGCTATTTTATAAATTTACTAATTAAATAATTCTTTCATATTTAATAATTATAGTAACGCCTATGGTTGACAGAAGTATGCGATCATCAACCATACAAGCCCTCTAT